AGAGGAGGAGAGGCAGGGAGATGCGGTCTGGGCAAGAAACTACGCTCCGTATCCGACATAGGGGTGTCGTCTTTGACGCCCTCCTACACTGAGGCATCCTCTGAGTTTGAGGAGGAGGAGGTTCACGAGGAGGATCAGGAGGAGGGTAAGGAGGAGGAGGAGGTTTAGGAGGAGGGCGAGGAGGGTGCAGACAAGGAAGGTGCAGACGAGGAGGGTGGTGGCGAGGAGTGGGGTGACTTGATGTCGGGTGATGCGAAGGGATAGCTACGTGGTACTGTGAAACTACCTACACATCCTCCTACCGAGGAGATGAAATGGCTCATTGAACCCGCGGGCAAATAGTAAGTGCCTCTCAATCATATTTTGAACACATACTAACATTTTCATTGTGTGCATGCTAATTTTTTGATTCTTTTGCGGCAATTGGAAACTTGTTGGAGAGAGCGGTAGTAAACCGAACGACATTATCACTATCCTGTTGAAGGAGATTTGGCCGGGCCTGTACAACCTGCGGCCAGACAAGGACCCGGAGCTGCGGGTTTTGGCCACGACCTGGGAGCACTATGAAGCTGCAGCGTCACGGAGTACGGGATGGCCGCTAAGGCCCTCATCAAAAAAAATTGGGTAAGTTCTCTTCAGAATCACTCGTCTTGAGTTTCGTTCATAGTTTATCATCGAATCACTTAACTCATGCCTTGTTTCATTTTGGTTTTATGCATGACTATAGCAATTCTATAGGGTACTTGAGGAGCACAAGGCCACTGCCAACATGGTCTTGGTGGCGGCTATGAGGAAGAAAGCTCGCCAGATTCAGTGCGAGGTGCGCTGGGTTGCCATCTCCACTACTAGGAAAAGGCCTGCTAGTGGCGCACCAGTTTTGCCTATTAATGGCACACTACTGGTGCGCCACTAGCACCACGCTATTAGAATTAAATACTAATGGCGCACCCCTGGTGCGCCATTAGTATCTGGTATACTAATGGCGCACCACGCAGTGCGCCATTAGTATAGCCCACTGTGTGCCATTAGTATGCCTCCCAGGGGGCCATATGTACCCATGTGCTTTGGCATACTAATGGCGCACTAGGGTGTGGTGCGCCATTAGTGTCCTTTCTGCAGTTTGCTATTAGTGTGCTGAGTGGTGCGCCATTAGTATGAATATTAGGGATTATTATTTTTTTGCTTTTCTGATATTTGCATAGATTACAAAACATGTTACTGCACATAATATAGAGAGCACAACATATAAACAGCAGATTTATCGAATACAATAGAAGATTAGTCTCCGAATACAATTCATCATATTAGTCTCCGAATTTCAAATACCGAACAAAGTTATAACATTACAAGTCTCGAAACCGCGAGTAGCGAGTTTGTCTTCACATTACAAGTCGATATTGATCATCTAAACTACCATCACATAGAAGAGAGCTGCGGTCATCACGATAAGCATAATCGCGATGAAACTGGTCTTCATCCGGTTCCTCCAACGCTCCCTCCTCTCTCCCGCTAGATACCGTGCGTATCTAACTTCGGCCTCCGCCCTAGTGGTGTACCCTTTGTAACCGTTACCGCTGAAACGGTAAACCTGTCTCAGACACTCCTCCCAGTCGTCGTAGACTCCAGGAACCTTACCCTTGTACACGACATACGACGACATCTCTATGCACTAGCCAAACAAAACGTTAGTAGCAATTCACAGAGATATACAAGTTCATTAAAGTTTAATATTACAACTATAACAACATGATTCATGGTCCTACTAATAAATAGCATCAATTACATATAAGTTGAACGACTGTCCAAACCAAAGAGACATACAAGTTCATTAAAGTTTAATATTACAACATGAGCCAATCGACATTTCAGATAGCATCACTACTTTCGACTCGACTCAGGGGACCGGAGCGTGGATGAAGCCGCCGTCTTTCGTGATGGTCATGAAATCGCGGGCGTTGTCAGCCTGCATTTGTAGCGTTGTTTCAATCTCATTGTTGGACGGTTGAGATCTGAGGTAGAACTACCCCGAGGTACGAAGGACATCTTGATGGATCATTTCCACAAACTCCGACTAGATGCGAAAGAATTCTTGTCTGATGTTCGTGTCCTGGATTGCCGACAAGCTAGTGGCCCAATCTTTGAGATTATCTGGTAGCAGAAGGTGATTATGGTCCCGTACGATCGCCCGAATGTGATGGAGGGCATAGTAGGCATCCTTCTGACCGCCAGGAGGCTGCTTGACGCAGGGGAACATCGTATTGTGGGTGAACACGTGCTTGCCGTACCTACGAACTGGCCTCTTGAAGGTGCCTCCAGATCTGGCGTAGCCTGGGAGAGCATCATCAAGAACTTTCTTCATATTTGTGTAGTCTATCTTCGACTCACGGTCCGGGTCAAAATACGTGGCCAAGGAATATTTCGGGCTTAAGAGGATGAGTGTGCAATGTGTGTCACTGCACAAAACACGGAATGTAGAAAAAACGATCGAAATCTAAGAAATCATATGTTACGGGGCGGTGAGGGGATGACTTACTCGGGAAAGTAAGGCACGAGGAAGTTATCCTTATCTGGGTTTGCCAGAATGGCGCCTTCGAGGTGTGAACTCGCGACTTGCCGGTCCCCAGCGCTGCCCAAGATCTTGGCACGCATGTAGAAGGGGTCGACTATCACGATGTCTGGGGTCTTGTCTCGAATGATCCGCATCTCCATACTCAGCAAAAACAGCCGAACGAAGGTGTAGTGCAGCGGATGAAGGTTAAACATAGCAAAGATGTCATCAAACCGCAGGACGATCGTACCCCCGATGGCGCTATCCACAAAGCCCTTGCCCTCTGGCACCTTGGCCACGAAAACTGGGTATGCCACATCATTCTGGGAGAGACGCTACTTCTCCAAAGAAAGAACAATATCATGCAGAC